TTGTAGGAAAGTATTGCATTTGAACCAGCTGAGGGTATTCAGACAGTTTGTTTCTCCAATAGTAGAGCTTTCTGGCATGATCAGTACACTCCTACTGAATTGAAATTAATTTAGCCAGCACTGTTGTGTTTTTTCTAAGAGCTGTAATTTCTGCTATTTTTACTGCTTGCGTATTACTTTTTACCTGCATCGGTGTTCTCTGAAGAAGGGATGGAAAAGGAAAATCTTCGCCCAATCGTTTAAAAAATCAAAACATTAATGATAAGGAATAATAGCTTAACTGTTTGTCACCTTCAAAAGTGTTCCAAATTTAGAAGATGACAAATATGTTGCATTCTTATGCGCCTTCTGCATGCGATTTTTCCAGCCTTCTCAACCCTCAGATGTCCTTTGGTTTTGAATCATAAGACATTTGAGGATCATAGCTGGACCTGACTTCCTTAACCTGCAACGAATGCGCCCGAACCTGTCAAACAGGTGACACAGGCTTCCAGTGGATGCGCATTTCAACGCTCAGTCAAGTTCAAGTCTGCTCCATACCCTAATTTAACGACCTTAACTAGCTGGTGTCTAAACTCCAACCGATAAAATGTTGTAGAATACTTGTTTGCTAATTTTGTACCCCTTTTAAGTGAAAGCATCGGTTTGCGAATTTCCAGGTGTTAGTAGAAGCCATTTGTAGAATATTTTGCCATAATAACAATTATTATCGCTTATTTTAATCTTCACGATTTCTCTAGCCCAAAAACAAGGAGAGTAATAAGAAACTTCTCCCCCATCCATTAGAACCTGGCTTCTTAACCCTGCTATGGTCACCTTAGAAGACGAAGTGTTCGCATGATTGGGAACATCGCTGCATTAGGCATTGAAACACATTTTTTGCTTCACTAGTATCTTAAACCAACATCAAATAATTATAACAAAGAATAGAAATAATGACAAAGTGATCGAGATGCTTCCTCTCGACAATACTATGGAAATTAACCAATGCCTGTGGGAGAACCGGGAAGAGAGCCAAGTTTGATTAGCTTCAAGTCTGTACGAGTATTTTGCCAAGATTTATTGATAAAATGCCTACAATTTGGTAACTAGCGCAAAACGCTTAGCCAAAAGCTAAACTTTGAACGAATTAGTAATTTAAAAATTCGACAATAAAACCCTCCCATGCGGAATCCGGAACTGATTAATTTTCCGTATCTGTTTTTCGGTACTTCGGCATGTGCGTTAATCCCTAAATAAACCTATATAAGCAAGGCATTACCTTCACTCCCCAAGCCTCAGTGGCAGCATCGATGGTCGCTTGCATAGTCACTGACATTTCCTCTCTATCCATGAGTATTTGAGCAAGATCCTTTGTACCAAGCACGTTTCTCAAAGTAGTCTGTGCTAGCAGGCGCGTGGATCTTGCCGCGTCCTCAACGTTGAGGATGGACACGGCAGGATTGCAGATTCTGTAATAGACAACTGCGTCAACAGCCACCGTCACAGAATCTCGCGTAAGCACCTCTTGAGGGGGAATGGAGAAAGTTACTGTACGCAGCTCGACCGTCCGCACGCTATCGATACAAGGGAGGACGAAGAAGAGACCTGGACCTCTCGTGCCCTGACCTCCAGGCAGTAAACGGCCCATTCTCAAAACCACTGCTCTTTCATACTCAGCGACGATCTTGAGACAAAAAATCATGGAGAAGGGAAAGGTCATGACTACTATAATCATGGAGAGAACAGTGAGGAGGGAAGTGAACCAATCTGTTTTTTCGTTTTGGTCGTGCGAAACTTGTAATCCACCCATGAAACCCTCAGCATCATTTTCAAATGTTGGCATTTTACTGGACGAGGTGAGAGGTTGAGGTGGAGATCTGGGTTCACGAGAGGGGTAACCTTTTTGCGGTGGGGAAGGCTGCTGTTTTCCATACCTCTGGGATGGGATAGGCCTCTTTGCTGGAAATTCGTAGGGCTGATTATGGTGAGACTTTGTTTTGGAGTGGGCTGACTCAGGAGTGATGGGGATATGTGTTCGGGGTGGAGCAGAGGGCACGAAACGCTGGTTGGCCTGAACAAGCCTTGATTCACTTTGAAGACTTGTATCCTCCTCCTCCTCCTCCTCCTCTTCACCGATACTCCCAGGGTCTGGAGATTGACATAAAAGTCTTGCTGTTGTCTGTCGCATCTGAAATGTATCTGTTTGATTACGGTGGTTTCTTGACTCGCCATTTCGTTGGCCCGCGATGCTGTTACTATTGTTGTTTGGGCTTGTAGTATTAGTGTTGGTGTTTATCATCTTTATTCCGCGAAAACTATCAAAGCTCTCTGATTGGGAGGGGCGTTCGTGTTTGGATTTACCATCCATGAGGGTTTTCCCCATTGTTCGTGGAGATGACTTTTGACGATAAGCTATGCTGGTGGAAAGGTCTAAAATTTTTCGTCGGCTCACTCATTACTGGTGAAAGTTCTATTGGGTTTCGGCGATTCGAGACGATCGCGGGCTGATCTAATCGAATTAATCAAACTGATGGCAATCTGAAATGGCGAGAATCGAGTATATTTAACCAGTGAAGACATCGGTCGTTGGAAGTGCGCCCTCAGTGGTCTTTTCAACGCCTGCTTTTTGCCCTCCCACTATTGGCCAAGGCAATGTGTCTTACTAGACATCTAGCCAACGGGTCCGAGTCTAGACATGAACCAATCAGTGTGGTGCGTCACCGTACCAATAGGCATTAGGGCGTCCCTACCCCCTCCCCTATGCGTTTGCAGACCTTGTTCCCCTTTCATTAGAAGTAGTAAGAAAATTGACTGCAGTGAACATTCCACTTTGATATGTTCAGCATCACTTTATGCAAATGACTCTAGTGCAGTGATTGTTGCAGACTAAAAGCAGACGAAGTATGCTTTTCTCAAACAGCATTTTGCTTTTTCGCAAACTTTTAATTTGATTTTATTAAGGTCCTTTAACTTTCCCAGAAATAAACATCTAGATGAGCACCAACTTGACGGTATTCGCAGCAAACCATTCAAGTTAACTAAGCTGCAACTTTACAGAACTTTATCTTTTCCCATGAGGTCGATGTGCCTGTTTGACTCTCACTGGACAGATAAACAAATATTTTATGTAACTTTTGCCACATCAGAGAAATTGGGCAAAGTGCGTCTGAAACACTTCCAGTGCTTAATAAAATTAAGACGCATTTTTTTTGCAGCAGATCATTTTAAGGCGCAACCATATTCGGATGCTTTGCAAATTAATCCTGAAGGGATGACAAAGCCCGTTTCAAATTAGATGGGGATTATTACTTTGTTTCGATAAGAATTAGGTTTTATTTTGTCTTAATGGTGGTTTGATTCAACTCGACAGAGGTTGGATTAGTAACAACGTCGTTCCCTTATGATTTGCCCCCACTGATGGCAAACTGCATCGAAGCGTCAAAATTATAATAATCAACGAAACCTTCGAATGCCTTGATGGTCTCTTGCGTTCCATCTGCTTAGAGGAATTCTTAAGATGTCTTCTCGATACGGTAAGTCCGTGCCTAATTTATTGTTCTTCCCTAGCGACGGTAATCATGAATGGTCACTTACTCCTGTACATGAACACACATTTTCCGCAGCAGTCGTAATTTAATATTTCTGTTTACAGAATCAAGAATTGTTTATTGTATACAGAAGCAGAGTTCGGACGAAAATTTGTAGCATTGTTGTCCTTCAACCCCTAAATCACCATCAGATGTTCTCTGCATTAGAATTCGCGTATGTTTGGATGGGCGGCATAAAAGGAGTCAGTAAAGTTCTTTGAAGGAGGCCTAAATCCCACTCGTCAAAGCCATGATTTTTCTTTTTTTATATTATCCCTCTTTCCACTCTAAATCTTATAAACTATTGACTTTCTTTCTCCATTGGTGACGTTGGCAATAGCCTTGCCTCCTTCCTTGTGCCATTAAACAAATGTGTCATTAATTTATAACTCGAGACCGAGGATGTGAGCCACCGCGAGGCATTGACCATAGAAATGCTCTGGCGGCCATCAGGCAGTACATTGTCGAAACGTCCAACCTTTCCCATTGGCCTTGATGATTCATCTTGTATGCACGATTTGCCGTACGGAGCACGACAACGCCTCTGGCTTTATCGTGCCACCGAGGATTCTAGCTAAGTGATGTAGCAAAATAATTACATTTTCATTAGTTACTCTTTCCCGTTTCATATCTCCGTGCTTTTGCAATTTATTGAATGCAAAGTTCTCAAAGAGGTCATATTTGCTCATATTAAATGTACTTCTTTTCCATTTTAGGCAATAATGATCTAACACTTTCTTTAGTATTCGACAGATGGCTGATGTTTGACAAAGATTACAAATTTGCAATGTGAATGGAGAGGAAAGCAAATAAAAGTTGGAACTATTTTCTGTGGAGGATGAATGACAATGCTTGACTTACACTCGCAGTTCCATTTCTACAATCAACTTCTGCAAAATCCTTTGGAATTATCAGTGAGGCAAATGCCAACACAATTGTAGATACCACAAATATGGCCTTCACGTGAAGTTGAGTTTGATTTCTCATTGACTAAATTTATCGCAACGATATGCAACTTCAGACTGCTATGCTTTGTCAACGGGTTAATGCAAAAAAGATAATTTAAATATTAATGCTTTACCACCACCACCACCACCGAAGGCCAAGACTTAAGGTTAACCTGAAGGACGGGTTACATCACTGCGAGGATAGCACATTCTAATAACCCCCTCACGCTAATGAGGTCAGCGACTGTCATTGCATCGCCCGAAACCCATTCCGGAATTCGCCCAAGCGAAACCAATGAAAATTTCAGCTAAACTAAACACTCAGTTTATCGCGATCGTAATCACTTACTACCTATGTTAGAAAACGGCAACTAAAATAAGGTGATATTCACCATCTTCAAACAGATTGCGCACTCAAGAGGACTTGAGACTAACTTTTACTACTTCAAATGCGTTCTTTCTACCCGATCATGGAACTGCACTCTACTTCATGTTTTTTGGGAGGAGATAAGTAAACACCCTCAGAGCCCTTTTTGGAGTTGACTTTTCCATTTCCCGAAGGCAGCAATCTATGCATGGATATTATTAAAGTACTTCTTCACTAGGATTTGCTGTCAGTCATTTTTAAGGCAGTGGTAAACTGAAAACTGCATAATAGAGCATTTCCTTTTTTGCTTTGTACCAAAATAAAATAAAAAATTAAATTCCAAGATCAACATGCATCATCCTAAAACTTTCCTGAAGCCAGAGGAAGGCGTAAGTTTGCGACAGAAAATTAATTATCTTAGTGCAAAAAGGACTAGGAACACTGCCGGCCAGGCCGAGAGCGCGCTGCGAGGCTCGAGACCCCATAGCCTACGAAATTCAAAAGAGGAATTGGGAGCAATTAGTCTATACATTAAAACGGTGTAGAGAAAGAGAAGTCTATAAATGTGTAAATTTATGATAAATGTAAGCTTAATCACATTCAAATTGGACTCGTTCGTAAAATACGAAGCACCTAAACATCGGATACCATTTCACACAATGTGAACATGTCTGATCACTCCCATGATTCATATTTAAAACCGCATCCAAGTCATGGTGCATACATGATTAGACCATGCTTTAGCATGTGTAGAGTAAAGAAGCTATACAAACTGACCTTTTGTTGACAAGGCATCGTATAAGTTAATATGACATCAAGTGGACGTCTTTTATTCACTGATAAGGAATGATGCCTTAATTTGCGTTAACCAGCTGGCGTTTAGTGGGTGGAGAGTGGTGACAACCTTCTGATTCTAGGGAAGATAATGCTAACCTTCAGAGTCTGCGGAGGGATGCCAAAATGAAAGCAAGCATTTGGGGACGTAATTGTCTTCTTCCCTCGCACATTTGCAAAGCACTTGGCGGGTGAGGTCATCCTACATTTGTGTGTCATCGGATGACTGTCTATACGTCGTGATAAGGAGTGAGGTAAAGTTAAACGTTAAGCAAGGTCGGTGTCGTATATACTCATTGATGGGACTACCGTGTTGCCTAAAACGTTAAATTACAATTCATGCAAAAATCAAAAAGGCTACTAATTATTTTAACAGGGTCAAAGCCCTTTCGTGCCTCTCTTACGTCCACGCTTGCGCCTAGCTCGGTTGTATGTGGTACGCAGAAATCACCCCCAAGAATTGTTTATCTTTTAGTCGAAGGCTACTAATTCAGATCTGCTAATAGCTGCGCTTCAGTCCTTGGTAGTGAATAATTGTAAGGCGGAAACAGCAGCGTGTACTTGCTAATGAGCTTAAAATACGACTTCGCACTCTCTTTAAATTTTATTGCATCAGATGCTTACATGGTTATTGAGGGCTGTACCTACTGCCAACCTTTTGGCGAAGTACTACCCAAAATGGAAAACGGTTTCGTCTACCTCAAATGGCTGGTTGCTGCTTTGAGGATTTGTGCTAAAAAGGTAGTATCTAATTTGAGACAACTCTCTAAATAATGTGATGCCGACCCCGTTTGATCGCTCACTGCCAGGTTGAGTAGGAGTAGAGCATTGCAGAACTGCACATTAAATACGAAGGGAAATGAGTAGGAACTGCACTTAAGCAAACTCGGTAAAGCTTTAAGGAATTCACTTTGAACGCTTTAGTGTGGTTTAATAAATGCAAAAGTAATGTTTGGGTGTACAAAAAAGTCAGCGACTGGGCAAACTTTAGGCACAAACACACAAACCTGTGCTCCAGCATGCGGACAAACAGAGTTGACGATTCAATGAAAGGATGCCGCCTCGTCGTGCCGTGCACAAAACCTTCATCCACCCGGTCAATCAACCAACCAGTCGTATTTGGCTTAGCCCTAGAAGAGTGCCTATTGGAAAAACTCACTTCTTTTGCCCAAAATCGCGAGCTTTCTCCTTCTCCTCCTCCTCACATGACGTGTCCATAACCTTGGCGACCACTGATTCTTTTCACAAGATAAACTCTGATACACGCTGCAACATATTCTAGAATGCCTACTAAATAAGGTGCGAAACACGCATAGTGTGCTGGAAAATGTGTCTTTGAATGCATTTAAGTTAATATCATTGCATGCAATTCAACGTACAAACATTCTCAATTCTTGCCTGCCTGGGCTGAATTTCCGCACACATGTTGGAGCTAGAAGTTAGAAGCATCTATGCGGCTTTGTGAAAAATGGTTTGAATTTAAACAGAGCTTTAATTTAACAGCATTAAATTAGCTTCCCCGTCGATTTGTCACAATCAGCTGCATTGTCAACGTGGAACGAAGAAATTCAATTCTATTTATTAAAGACACTGATTTATTTTTTATGGTTCGAGAATTCGAGAGGATATTTTA